TTTTTGTTCATCTCTCATGATAAACAAGACTAGTAAAAAGAAAAGATACTTACAGCATGGGAAAGTATTTTGGTGGCGCTTCAACCCATTATTATCAACAAAGGTGTGAAAGCACAAGCAACATGTAATTTTTTGACTGAGCTATAGCGAAGCCCGTTACTCCAGTGCGGTTGAAAAGTTTGGTCTGTTTGTCTGTGTTTGTGTGTCTGTGTGTGTACACTACTCCTCCTGAACGGCTCGGCCGATCTGGCTGAGATTTTGCAGGCTTATTAGGTATGTTCTTGGCTCGGCACACGCGAAATTTCACTATCGTAGCTCACGTGGTTCAGTTTTTATAGGCGAAAAACACCTAAAAAACGGTGAAAAATCGAGTCTTCTGCAGGCAGATCACTTCTGTCTTAAGGGGGCACACCAGTGAAAATGCAGAGGTTTCGAAAAACGATCATTTTGAGATAAGTAACCGATGTATTCGATTGATATTTTAGTCATGGCTCAAAATTATGTCAAAGAAACGGAAAATCAGTATGGGAGAGCGAGGAGGCGATGGCAAGATGAAGCGCCAGTGCACTTAATTTTTTAACGACCTTGCTTCACTCCTGCCACGATTCCGCCTCTCTGGATTGAGCTTCGCGCACGGGATTTGAAAATTTCTCGACAGGACACATGTGGCTATGGTCTGAACCACGGGCATTCAAAAAGAATGATTTTGAATATGTTTTTTCAGAAGGCAAAAATAGAAACAAATTTTTTAACCAATTTTTCGTGCTTTCATGGCTGCAGCTCACGTCCTATTTATGGGATGGCCATTTCCGAGGTTCAGACCATAGACGCAAGTGTAACGAACATTATGCCGCAAACCGCATTAAATTATCTTCATTTGTGCGCCCGTGAGAGTGGCACAAAGGTACAAAAAAGGTGTTTTGAGAAAAAGCCCTTTAAGTGTTAACATAGATTTGACGTGTTTTTTCGGATTATAAATGCGTCTTTTGACGTATTTTAGTTCAGTTTGCGCCAAAATGTTCCTCCTTTCAACTGCGTTTGGGTGGTTCAAGGGTTTTGTGATTGAAGTTCAAGTGAAAAACCTCAACCTTAACAATTGGTCAAAAATGAGCAAAAATAATTGCCTTTTTAGCAACTTCAAAAATGTGCACAAGCCAAAGTAATTGGAATTTCGGGGTGGGGTTTGCGGCATTCGACTCAGGATGAATAACAGAAAATTAATGTAAAATAAAAGAGAAGGCAAAAATTTGACGGTTTTCACTGGTGTGCCCCCTTAAAGAAAGGGGGGTCTGGGGGGCGGAGCCCCCCAGTCTCGACAAGTTAAAAAGTTTCAAGGGTCAAGACCGTGTTATCAGTAGATGAAGCAACTCTATCTAGAATGAACGGGGTCTGGGGGCCAGCATGCAACAAGTAAGAAGTAACTGATGATGGACAAGCCAATGCCTGCCGAAGGCAGGCTAGCGCCGCAGGCCAAGGTAAGGGAGGGTGGGGCACCTAGTGACAGGGGCACCTAGTGACACAGGGGTGCCCTGGCCACCCTATGGCTCTTTCAGACACCTTGAGGTGGCTTATCTAAAGGTCTTGTGCTATGGAATCATGTTCAAGTGAAAGTGAGACTTTGAACAAAATATTTTAGCCCCTAGAATAAAAGCAAAAAAAACATTACCCAAAATCACAGATTTTACGACTTGTTAACAAAATGTTTTCTCGCTATTCTTCCAGTACACGGCACTGCCGATCGTTCTGGCACTTTTAATCAATAATAAGGACCCTTAGGAAGTTGTTTTCGCTTAACCAGCTCAAACACATGATTTCATTTCTTTAATATCAAATTTTGAACGGAAATGAGCCCCCGGGGCAGGTAGTGACAGACACACTCTATTTACCGTATTGCAACGATTTAAACGTTTTAAAACATCGATTTGGCAACCGCGAAGTAAATTGTCACTGATTGTCACACAACGAAACATAAATAAGACTAATTTGTACGACAATTTCGTAGAACATTGAATTTGATTGGCAATGTAGTAATATGCAGTTTCTTGGGAAAAAATGGCGCCGTTCAGAATGGTTTGATATTTAAAAAGCTTAAAGAGTCTAAAACAGATAATTTTCAATTAGCTGGAGCGTCGCTCTATGCTGGTAATGTGAGTTATATGACCTGTCACTAGGTGCCCCGGGCTGGGGCACCAAGTGACAAGTGCAGAGGTCTGCGGGAAGCTATGTAAATAATAGAAATAGGTGTTGTCAAAACGCCACACTATGTTTTTGCAATCAAGGAAGGATCAAAGCAACCTTCTGAGGTGTAAGCAGATTCATTTCTCGCATAGTATCGGAGTGAGTGCCAAAATCAAAAAAGTGTCACTAGGTGCCCCACCCTCCCTTAGGTGCGCCAGGCGCGGATTGGAGGAACAGGCCGCGAGACATCGCGAAGCCTGTTACGACAAGACGCGGTCTGGCGTAAACCTACCTTGTTTAAGCTCGGCTTCAGTTGGTCAGGTTAGGTTACTCTAACTTGCGGCTCTCAGCGGGCCGCTGGGCGGCTTACTTTTCGCCTCTCTGGTATCTGACTATTATAATTTACGTGTGTTGTTTGTATTTTGGAAGTTCGCCAACAAATAAACCGTTTTTCGGAAAACGTATTTGAGTTATCGGTGGCCGTGGAACGACGGTGGAACATTTCGGAACAAACGATTCTGAGGCGATTAGCATCATTTTCACCTTTTTTACGCGGGTTTGTATTTTGGAAGTTCGCCTACCCAACAAAACAACCGTTTTTCGGAAAACGCATTTCAGTTATCGGTGCCCGTGAAACGATGGTGGAACATTTTGGAACAAACGTTTTTAAGAAGAACTGAACTTTTTCTGGGTCGATTTGAGCATTTTTACTGGTTTGAATCTGGCCAGCTTGTTATCGAAAAACGATAACGAGCCTGGAGCCGCCCTTGTTAAGGAACAATTGTAGAACATTTTGGAATAAATCATTCTGCGTTGATTTGTTGTATTTTGAACCTTCTCTGGCGATGTTGGGTTGGCCAACTTCAGGGAGGTGACCGCAGGAGCATCATTCGTCATTCAGCCGCTGAGCAGTACACATATGTGGAATTGGTCTAGAAGTTCCCATTTTCACCCACACCTCACCTTGACAATACTCTGCAAACTCTACAGTGTGCTCAGTACACTCTGTTCAGCGTGTACTCACAAGCACACTCCTACGAGAGTAACGAGAGTGTGCTCAGCTGAGTACACTCTAACGAGAGTGTGCTTAGCTGAGTACACTGCAGCCAGAGTGTGCTTGGGTCGGTACAATATATGCAGCTGAGTACACGTTCGTGGGAGTGTACTCGTGAGTACACGTTAAAGATAGTGTACTTATGAGTACACGCTAAAGAGAGTGTACTCATGAGTGCACGCTTAGAGTGTACTTATGAGTACACTTTAAAGAGAGTGTACTGAGTACACTGCTGAGTTTGCAGAGTGCTTATGCTGTTAAATTTGATGGCAACACGTCTTGTTTTATTACAAGCATGTTGTAGCCCTCGGTGCTGTTTGCTGATAATTCGATTGTAATTAAAGAATTACTTCTCTGAAGTCTTCGATGATATCTTCGCATCATTTGTGTCGGTCTCACTGTGGCCGTGTTGTAGTAATCTAACAAGAGCCTTGTAAGCTGACAACTACGTACATATGTTAAACGATTGCAATAAGTTTGTTTCTAAACAGGAAACCTGCACTCTAAAAAAAATCAGTACAGAATTTTGTAACATGGTTACGCAGCTTTTTCAATAACATGTGTTACAGAAATTTGTATCACGATGGATACAGTTTTTTTCTTTGTAACTTGGTTACAGAATTTCGTAACGGTTACAAAATTTGTAAACAGTCGTTATTCTTCCAAATCAAGCATCAAAATGAGAATTTTGGTCGAACGTAGTCTCCTTTGGTCTGATTGAAGGACGTTATGCCATTCTTCGAGTCACAACTTTCCCAGATGTGCTCTGGGAAGTCGAGAATCGAACCCCAGACTCAGGGTTGGCGGCCCGCCACGCTACCAACTGCGCTGTGCGGACGCCGTGGAGGGAGCGGCGCAGGTAGCCGGTGACCTGAGGCGCGCGTGGTAAGGGACGGAGGCCTTGCCAGCCAAGCATACACGAGACTGAATCTCTTATTCAGAGTCGGGAAAAATAAAAGCACATGAAAACTCTAAGTTTAACTTGTCTCTATGGGCACTGCTGTTCAATTTTGCCGTTAAAACCTTATGTTTTAATCGCTGATACAGACTTTAGTATCCAGTTACAATTTTCTGTATCGGTTATGTTACAAACATAATATTGTAATAACCTTCATGTAACAAACTTCTTTATCAAGCTCCAAAATGATTCATTTTTCTGTAACCGGCACATCTGTTACAAAATTCTGTATCACTTATACAAATATTTGTAACCAATGCAGGTGATACAAAATCCTGCATCAAAAATGATACAAAATTCTGTAACTTTTTTTAGAGTGTGTTCAACGACAACACTGTTTTGAATCACGATTACATTATTGTTACTTGACAAGGAAGTTGTGAACCAAAGTGTTGTTTCTGGATGGATTTCCCGTTCAGACCTAGGGGCAAACAACTTCGTCAAAATTTGTCCACCGTTATTTCAAATTCACGTTATTTCATTGTTATTCCAACGTTATTTCAAGGGTATTTCAACGTTATTTCGTGTTATTTCGCGCTATTTCACCGTTATTCCACGCTATTTCACGCTTATTTTGGCGTTATTTCAACGTTATTTCACGGAAAATGTACACCTAAATTCAAGTTGTTTGCCCCTCGATTCAGACACAAACCAGTACTATTGTTATTTAACTGCATTAAACAGGTCTCTTTGTTTGGAATGAATATGGCTGTAGCTTCCTTTGGATTTCGTGGGTACGTTTATTTTACAACTTAAAAAAATCTGCCAGCGCACGGAAACTGACACGTAACCGCATTGATGTGGGCTTGTACGATGGCTGAGGTGCCCCTTCACGCGCTACCATGTCTTCGGGATGATGTGACCCTCTGCGCTCACGCAGACTTCTGCTGGTTTTCGTTCGTAACCCATATACAATCGGTAACGGTAGTGACCATAGACCATCACGGGCACGCCTGTGATAGCAAAGTGTAGGGGCGTGTCACTTATTTCGTAACTTTTCTGCAAAAAGGAAAGGTTGACAATACTGATTGCATGTTGGTTGAGGTCCAGGTTAGAGCCCGGCGCCAAATGCGTCTTTTCGGGAACGCGACGAAGACCCGTTTCGTCTATCTGCGCTGATTTCACATCTGCATTTCAACACCTGACTGTGAGCGATTCTCACGTTTTGGGGTAGTTTCGTTTCTTCTGACTCCTGTGCCCAAACGAGCGCAGATATCGACATTGGGTTTGTTTCTGATGTTAGGGAGGGCCATTGCCTACTAAACGCACACATTTTGAAAAGTTCACGTTCGTTGGATTGGTCTACGTAGCGCTTGGAATACCCTATGTAACTTCCGTAACTGTCCAAAGAGAACATACTCGAACTTTCCGCCCCCAGTGTGGCGATGTGGTTCGAAAATGCTGCCAACTGTCGATGGGGATTCGAAGCTTGGCATGTCTCGAGCTAATTTCAACCGAATACCAATGCGCCAGACTTCTTTCAAAGGTACTTATGCTGCAACGAAAAATGTCCTCCGTATATTCAATTTCACTACACAAATTTCAAAAAGGCAGCTCTGGACTTCTCCCCAAGCCAAACTTTAAACTTTCCATGACACAACCCATCAAAGTGGAGTCCCAGGGATATAATTGCATGGGTCGCGGAAATCTAAGATGCTGTACACGGTCTCAAAGCGGGCTAGAGCATGATAAAATGGCGTGTATCAACAATTACCTGTAACTTCCGTGGCACCCTTTACCCAATGTTGCAGCAGCACTAGGTGAAAAAATTTTCCGCTGAAATTTTGGGCTTGGAGTATCATTTGACCCTGGAACGACTTTTAAGCCACAGCAAGCCCGAGTCAGCCGTTAAAGCCGATTTTCACACTTTGTAACTTCCGTGATAACGTAATTTCCGTGATCAAAACACCCACTAAAACGTATGGGAATACCTTATGGGATGGCTCATGTTTTGAGGAAGGTATTACAAGGTCTTTACTATAAATACCATTGCCATAACTCTAGTATCATCCAGGACCCCAATAATCAGAAAAACTTAATTGTATATTTCTTACTTTCGGAAAATCAGAGACGCCAAAACTACCCCGAAACGTGAGAATCGCTCACCTCGGAACGCACGGCTAGCTCCAAAGGCAGTGCAGGCGAACGGCTTTCCGTTTGAGCGCTGCAGACCAATAGCTCTCTCTCTTTGAACGCCGCAGACAAACGGCTCACTGACTTTCGGAGAGACTTAAGGGTTGACATAGTTTAATTATTTTTCCCTAGGAAGCATAATGTCAATCTGCTCTGATAAACGTACACATCTGTTGGATAAGCTCAAATGGGTCAGACTCAATGGATCGTTAATATGTAAGTTTACAAGCTCCGGAGGTGGAGAAAACAGCCCTTTGTCAGCAGCTCTTACTCAGATTGCCGTTCTCCTGAGCTTTTCTTTGGTGATAGCCGTTCGTTAGGAGGTGGCGATTTGTTTTTGTGAATTTCCAACGCTGATGTCAGAAAAACGCTGGTTATTTATCTTGAGGCTTCGGACTTGCTTTGCGCATCTCCTGCCCGAGGGCATGGGCGAGGAAAAAAACCCGCTGTGCTGTGACACGCTTATCCAGTGAAGCCAAAACGACGCCTCCTAATAAAATAATCCTAATTGTCGAGTAGATCCAAGACAATCCCAATTCTCCGAGCGACAATCCAAACTGCCACTGTGGATCTGGAACTACATCCTAACTGCATAGGTAGGGTCAGTTGGGGTAATAATGGGACAGTTTGAATAATAAGGTTTCCACAACTCAACAATGGCGAGTTGGAGTGTTTCTAATGCTTTTAAAGGATAGGCTACTCTGTTCCACACCATTTGGCGTTAAAATAAGATCAAAAAGTCATTTAATTTTGCAGTTGTGTAAAATAAACTGTGAAAATTCGGACTTGTAAGTTTGGGGTAATAATGGGACACGCTGGGGTAAAAATGGGACAAGGGCTTAGCAGAGGTAAAACAGGCCTCAAAGTTTTCCAAATAGACACCACTTTATAAAATTCGATCCGTCTCAACACGAGGAACAATAAATGTCATCACATGCCACCGGTTCGGATGAAAAATGAAGAGGCATTGCGCTTCAAAAGAACTTGGGTGCAATTTGACCTTTTGCGACTATTTGTTAATTTCAAAGCCCATTAACTTTTTAAATATCCGTCCAAACCCATAGCATGTGTTGACATTTTTTGTTTGTATTGTCGAGGCCTATCTATTTCCGTTCAGAGATGTCAATTCAAACAACTTTGAAAATTTTCTCCCCAAAGGCCACAATTTACCATTAACCAAGTGTCCCATTTTTACCCCAGGAGTGTCCCATTTTTCCCCAAAGTGGTGTCCCATTTTTACCCCACAGAAAAATTCTACAATTGCAAGTTAACGAATGCATTGATGTCAAAATGAGTTGGTGGATCGAAATCCTCGTTCTTTTAGCTTTCCAACACACTATAATACTTAACTTTTCTGTTTATGGGGGGTTCTGTAGTGTTCTAATTAGATGACCTCTGCGGCAAATTTTTCCAACCTTTAGAAAACCCATAATTGCCATGTTTTGCTTGATTTCTTAATTCTCATTTCTATGAGCAGTCATTGTCCCGCCGAATGAAAAATGGAATACTAGACACCTCAATGAACATTTTAAGCACAAACATGTCATTGTAGGACGTTTTAAAATGCCAAAACTCGTCAACTTTAGAAAGTGTCCCATTTTTCCCCAAGTTTCCAGTGTCCCATTATTACCCCAACTGACCCTACCTGAATTTGTTCACCAACTATTTTAACTGCGAATCAGTGAATCGCGATTTCTCTATGTTAAAATGTTAAAATTTGAAAATCCACATCTCAGGACAGAAGTTGAAATTGAAAATTCCATCACTAAAATCTCTTCTATACATCTTTAGGATAACCCAAAAATTTTTTCAAGACTTTCCGTTCTAATGAAAGACGCGGGAAGATTTTTCCCCAACGCTCTAAAAAACACTAAAAAGCCACTTTTCTCAGAGACCGTTCAACATTTTGGATTGAATTTTGTTTTGGGAACTCACCATAATGAACCCAATAAGCAAAGTTTCAACTTTCTAGGATTATTTTTAAGCCCACTTGAAAGTTTCACGAGGGTCCCCCCTTAACAAGTCCTGTCGGCAAGTATTTTAATGAAGTATGTGAGCGTTATGGACTTAAAGAAAATAGCACTTTCCATGTTATGTGCAGTTTTAGGAGAGTTCTGAATCGACATTGACACTAAGGATTGTCTTGGATGTGCTCCGACGGTAAGGACTGTCCTGAATCTGCTCTGGCAGTTAGGATTATTCCATTAGGATAGGAGTCACCCTTCAACCATGCACTACAAACATATCTCCTTAGTACGCACTTGCCATCGCATGCTTGGCAAGTACACTCAGAAAAGCTTGCAAAGAAAAGTACTTTGCAGTACAAAGTATTCTTCGGCATTGTATTACATACTCCCTTGCGAACTTTTTTCTTCGCATTGCAAAGAAATAGTTCGTAAGTTAAGAAGAAAAAAGTTTGCAACGTTGCTAAGCATTGGTTTGTAACGTTGCAAAGCATTTTCTTTGCAAGTTGCAAAGGAAGTAGTTTGTTAGAAAGTTTGCAATACAATGCCGGAGAATACTTTGCAAGGTCTTTTGAGTGTATAGGGGTAGGTTGGGGAAGAAAAGTACAAAACGCGTACTTTGCTCTGTACAGAAGTTCCAAATGAGGATTAAACTATTCTGCTCTCGTGAACTTACAATCCAGTCCTTTCCTGATGAAATGGATCACTTTTCATTGATTGTAGTTCCCCACATTACGCACAACATGCCAAAATATATGTGATTTCGGTACTTCTCGAAAAGGGTAAGAAAAGTACACCACCGGGAAAGAAAAGAACATTGAAAAGAATTGCGATTTCGAACCAGAAGGCCGCCAATCTTGGCTCAATGCAGTTTTACCCCTAAAGTGGAGAGTTTTCACTTGCCATTAGTTCAAGTTTCGTCAAAATCGGTCAGTGGTTCTGATTCTACATGGTCTCATACCAAAAGGTCCAGGAAGCCTCTTCTCAGAGATAGGTGGCAACAGCATTTTTGTACTTTTCTTCCCCTTTTCACGTAAATGCCCAATAACTTGTTTATTTCGAGTCTAATTCCATAACATGTGTTGACATTTTGCTTGTCTCCACTAATCCAAACTGTTTCCGTGATCAATATTCATCGCGCTTAAAGTTTTTTACAGGGTGTTCTTTTCTTCCCCAATGCCTGTGCTTTTCTTCCCCAGCGGACTGTACTTTTCTTACCCGTTTCATTTTTACACTTAAAAAAATTTGTGTTGAAGCCTAAGAGCACCGAACGGCACTGTGTTTCAAAGACGATGATCTAAGCTATAAGGTGGTACCGTACATTGGACTGTCGGCTGATTCTGCAGAAAGCTGTACTTCAAAGTACAAACAGTTTGAAAAAGATTTTCAGTCATTTTAAGTGTTTTTTTCAAACATGCAGTCTGATTCTAAATATTATATGTAGAACTGGGCTTTATTTATTTTTTGTCAGCGGGATGACCAATCTTTCTTAAACCACTTACGTGATGGTTCAGTGTAGTTTCAGTTCGGAGATGTAGCAGGTGTTCTTTTCTTACCCGAGGCTCGAGTGTACTTTTCTTACCCAACCTACCCCTACACATGCGAATGTTTAAGCTTAGCATTGAGTTAAACGGCGCCAAGCATGCATTTGGAAGTGTGTACCATGTGGACGATTACGTTTGCATTCCACGTGCCTCTGGGTGGAGTCCAAGCAGGTCCCATCGGGACCTTGGGAAATTAAGAATTGTCGTAGGGACATGTGGACAAGGGGCGAAAGGCCATGGATCCCTGGTGAAACAAAGGCGAGCGGCGCGAATCGTTAATGCTTTTTGGAAGGGCATTAAAATTTTGCTTTAAGGGGGGACATCACTCCGAAAACAGTGCTTTTGTAAAATCGTCATAAAAACCAAACGGAAAGAGAAAAATTGTTCATAGTTTGACAGATAAAGTATAAAACCACACTAAGTCAATCAGCCGGGACAGTACAGCGCTTTCGTTGAAAACGCATTTTTGAGTGTTAGGTTAGACCATTTCGCACGGTTGCAGCGCTGGACGCCAAACGGTTTGACCTAGAACAACTAAATTTGGTGACAGCCTTCCTGAGATGTCTGGCTATGGTGGGTACCTCAATCACATTTAAAAAATCATTTTAAGTGGTATTTCTTACATGCCAAAAAAATTGTTCAATTTTTTGGGTCAAAATTGTTCAATTTTGAACGATAAAAAAAATTTACCAATGCAAATTATTTTGCTACCCACCATAGCGGCATGTTGTAGAAGCTTCCATGCTAAATCTCCCCGCTGTAGCTCAAAAACTGCGCCCTAGAGGCCTGCAACCGTTTGGAATTTCATGTTCCGAGAAAAACGCGATCAAAGTTATGGAAACTGGGCTTTTCCCCTAAGCATGTTTGCGGCCCACAACCTCCCAAAACTGCAATTTTTTGATTTTTGGAATGTGGTTTTCGCCATTCGACGCAGAAAAGAATGGTCTGTAGTATAAACTTATAAAAAAAAGTTGCGATTTTTTATCATTTTGGAGTGATGAACCCCTTAATTCCTATATCATTCACGCCTTCCAAGGGCAAGAAACGATTTACGCCCTTTAGGGCGTAAAAGAGTATACCCTAAAGAGCGTAATTTTTATGCCTTTGTTTTACCAGTGATCCCTGGATTGCTTCAAATTCTACCCGCCCTCGACAGCTACATCTAGCTCCACCCGAGTTCCCCGCGCTGAAAGCCTCTCCCTTACCGCGGGTACGACGCATGGCGTAGATAGTTTGACTCCGGGGAAAAAAACTTTCATGAGGTTTTCCGCATACCTCTTGGCAATCGAACACCCATGATCGTCGAACTTAAAGACGAAGGCGTTTTCCTTCCACATGTTGTTGTTCCGAGCGTCCAAAATTATATTCACCTGAGGTCAAAACAAGAAAAAGAAACAGTTTAGGGAAGTCACGAGGTTAATTTAATTCATGTTCTGGGTTAACAAATATGAGGCTACACCTGCACTTTGTGCAGTTTATTTTATGTTTTCACCGTGACCAACTACCAATAAAACTAAAACTTACCAAAAGGACCAGCTGCGTATCAATTTGTTTCGTACCCAGGCTTATAAGACAGTCTTAAAATACATCAACACGTGCAGTGAAACAGTTTATTTTACCCAGGTACAGAAGGTTTTTTTTAGGTTAAGGAATGCACATCCGCCGAACTGTAAGAAATTAGCTCCGAAATTTTATGGAGAAAAACTGTATAATCACGTTCATGGGACTCCATTCATTTTTTGTCTTTTTTTCGGAGAGATTTTCTCTGGGCTTGGACAAATGTTCTTCGGGAGCATTACTCGGGTCCTGATAGGAGGTAAAATGCACGTCTTTTCTCAGATATGTTAAAGAGGGCTTCGCCAAAGCATTATTTCAGTCTGAAATGGCCAAAGAAGGGATAATCTCCTTCGAGCTCCTTTGAGTTATATCCTAAAGGTTTCCTACAGTTTTATGAAAACTGAGCTGAAGAAATAGGGATTCACCTTTCCCCCATTTTTTAATTGGTTGCAAACTTTTTTTTTCGTGGTTTCCTGAGACAGAGAAATTTCTACAAAGAACTGTAATACTAAGAAAACGGCGGCTTTACAAAGAGCATTACAAAGAGTAGTTCTTTGCAGAGATTTAAGTGTGGATAGTGAAGAATGCATTTTTGCTCTCTTTGTTCAGGTGATGGTTTAAATTTTGTGCATACGTTAAATATGCATACTATCATGCGTGAAAATGCATGAATTTATGCAAATTCACGCACAATTTTATGCACGACGGTACGCAGATCTAAAATTATGCATCACCACGTGCAAATTTGTACTTAAACATTTGGTGTGTACTGTAAGTTCTTTGGCGTAGTAAGTTCTTTGGCGTACCCATGTGTTGTCGGTTACAGGTGAAGTGAGGTTCATCCAACCTCGAATGCGCTGCGGGTCCGATGGCTTTGCCGGATTGTGGTGGGAGATTTTGAGACTCCAAGAGATGTTATATTTTCCCTCGCAGTCAATGAACCTCTTGATGACAGCGCTCCAAGGTCCCTAAATCAAATTGAAAGCGCTGATCTGTTACAACCTCTGCGCAGTAGGCCTGAAGAGCGGCACCGGCGGCCCAGATCCCAGAGGCGTTTTGAGCTCCAGAGTAGCTGAACGGGACTCAAACCGAATGTATGACCCCAGCAATGGATCGCCATCCGAACGAGGAATCCAGTGGCGGGATCACGCGTTCGGTTCGAGTCGAGGGGGCAACCACTCGCGAAATCCTGTGTGAACTGTGAAATCTTGCGCGAATTCGCGCGAATAATCTCGCGAAATCCCTTCGAAATCTGGTGAAGTCTCAGGAAATCCCATCGAAATCTGGTGAAATCTCGCGAAATCTCACCAAAATCTCAGGAAATCTGGCATAATTTTGACGCAAAATGCTGCAAAATCTTGCGAAATCTCGACAAAATCCCTACCTTTGAAGAATGCTGTGTACAAAAAAGATTGGAGTGGTTGCCCTCTCGGCTCGAGTCCTACTGAGCGACTCCTGGAGCTCAAAGCTCGGAGTTTTGACCGCCGCCACCGGTCTTCTGGACCATTGTGCACCTTTAAAGCCACGTTTGTTTTGAGTGAAATATGCACTCTCAATTTAGGAACGGACATCACGTTCAACGAACGTGACAAAACGTCACATTCGTTTGGATGTGAATCGACCGAACCTAAGCTTGTTCACATTCAAAGGAACGTGACACTTCGTCACGTTTGTTTCAACGTGATGTCATGTTCCTGGAATGAGAGTGTACCCAGTCAGCCTTACCGCATAGTTGTTAATTGCCTTTCCATGGACACTTTTGGACAGGCTAGCCGCAAAGATTATAAACGCATTTATAGCGAGGGTTTTGAAACATTTCTTCATTGTTTTCCGTCTTTACTTAAAGCTATGTAAACTGAAATCAAACGATCAAAAGAAAAGATGCTCTGTTATTTATTCGTATCTTTAAAAAAGGAAACGGCGTTTAGTTAGTATTTTAAGGCAATCATGTGTTATGTTTGGTTATAGCGAGCAGGCGGTTTTAGCGCGTCAAAAGTATGAGAGCTCCAAAATACGCAGTCTTATCAAAAAATGGTAGTGTCGGACACTGTGTGGTCGACACTTGAAAGCGTTGGCCACTGTGTGGTCCACACTTCGAAGTGTCGGACACAACCGGTGGACTCTTGCGCAGGACGAACTGGTCTAACGCCTACGAGAGTCGACTTGTCCTTCGCTTGGATCTGCAGTGAAACGATCGTTCCACAAACGTTCAGTTTCGTTTCATTGTGCGTCTGAGGGCCGTAATACGGCCGCAGTATCGCCTCCCAGACAAAGGACTATTCGCCGATGTCAGAAGTCTTGTGTCTTGTCGCCGTTCCCAGGGGTTCCGACGAATTCGCAAGGAGGACCCGATGTTGAGGGAGAACCGAGGTGGTAACGACTTCGGGAATCCGGCTGACAGCAAATTGGCAATTTTGAGGTAATCCAGGGTTATCCTGCTAAATCCAAAGGTAATCCAGGAATTTTTGCTGTAATCCGGGGGTAATCCGGGGTATTCCGTAATCCGGCTGACACGAAATTCACCAGTCCTTACCCCCTCGGGGAGAACAATGTTGGTCAAAAACCGTGTGAAAATCATTTCTCTTAATAACACTGAAAAGATTTCGCAAAAAAAAGAAAAAATATGTCAAGATTTTGCTATATTTTATTAGCGAAACTGTAGCAATGCCCTGTGAAAATTCAGTCGTTCTAGAGTGGAAAGTTTTGTCAAAGTTTGAAAATAACCATTGATGTTTACGGCTCATCACTGATTCTATACTATACAATATAATTCTAAAACGAAAGTTTACCGTTTTGTGAACGGGAAACTGATTTTGGACCATATTGCGTGCTAAACCGTGTCGCCGTGTACCGCATCCCATGTCGTTGGCGTCCACGCGGGAATCTCGTGCCCGTGAATGACATGGCTCTCGCCACGGGGTTCCCGCAATTTTTATACTCGTCCCTATGGTCGCTGTTCGGTCGTGTGCATAAACGAGTATTCGACGGGTCCCAGTATTCAATATATCTTATCTATAAATCTCCCCCCCCCCCCTTCCCGAAGAGTCTTACCTAAAACACAGGCAAATTTCACTCAGTTTGATCATTTGATACAGCTACAAATCAACATAGTAATTTGTGATTTAATTCACTTAAACTCGAGGGGGTAGACTCTCGCTTAATACCCGGTGCACAAAAACCGTATATTACCCACAATACACGAGAACGTAGTACCCTTTTTGGGTCAAATGCACCAAATTTTGGCATTTTAGAGCCGTAATACACGTGTAATACCCCCGTAAAGCGTAATACCGGAGGCACACCAGTGAAAATGCTGAGGTTTTGAAAAACGATCATTCTGAGAAAAGTACCCGATGTATTCGATTGATATTTTATTCTTGGCTCAAAATTAGGGTCAGGGCGGGGAAGAACTGGACAGGGGAAGAACTGGACACCCCATATTTTACTTCAAATACCGTAGGCACAGGAATAACAACTATCAAAAGTTGTTCGGTGGCATCAGCGGTTCATTACACGACAGTTGTCAGGCCAGTACATACGGCATTTGAAGTAAAATGTGGGCCGTCCAGTTCTTCCCCTGTCCAGTTTTTCCCCGCCCTGACCCTATGTCAAAGAAAAGGAAAATCAGTAAGGTAAAAAATCAATTGTGGGTCACGAATCAATTGTGGGTCATTTTTTTCGACGGGTCACCGCAGACCCGACGGAGATTGAATCGATTTGAATTTCGCGGTAGACCTTCCTTCAACCTTTCTTTGTCTTCCCAAATAGCGTGTATGTCCGAGCGACGACTGTAACGGCTCCTATTAGGCTTCAAAGGAAGGCCCTTCAAAATGTCGAGAAAATGGCGCCCATCCAACGAGGCGATAAATCGTATGTTTTTCAAATTGCCACCGTGAAGCTATTACGAGATAAAACGGGACGCCCTTGCTGATTTAGGTTCATAGTAGATCAGGGAACATAAATTTACCATAGTACAGCCGAAATCATTCGAAGTCATGGTGCGCGGGTGATGGCAAAGAAGCGTTCGCTTCCATGTCAGATCCATTATTTTAAACAAATTTTCCGGTAGTTTTTCTGCTATTTTTTGTTTGCTGCGCTTCTGAATGACCGATGTATCCCAGTAAATTCCATTTTTCTGCTCTGTCACATTTAGTATTACGATATGAAGGTTATGTTAAGCTACAGCCCCGAATGACAGCGCTAGCTCTTACTTCCAGTCTCCCATCAGGCTTTTTTGTTGGGGAGGGGGGGGGGAGGCATTTCGGGGCTTACATAGCTCCCGGAAGGGAACCGCTCTCCAACTGCGGGCTAGGCACCCGAGGCCAGTCCGGCCCTGTTATAAGGAGTCAAATCAATCCCTAAAGACTATATATTCTGACTGAAATAGAAAAAAAACAATAGCAATACCTCATGATGACAGGGTGTGGTGTTGGATTGTCTACCACACCGGCGGCCCTACAATATGCACTATAAAAGTTTCGTCCCTAATCCAGGACGTTTAACTCACATCTGTCTCACAGTGAAATTAGCCTGTTTATGTATTTTTCCTTTTTGAGTGAAAAACGTGTCTGCTTGGTTTATTGAGAACCAGGGACCTTTAATTAATGAAAATAAGAAAATATCTTGCAAAAGTGGTCAATTTACAAGCAAAAAGACGAAATGGCCCACAATTGATGTGACCCACAATTGATTCATTGTCCTACATATCCTGCAGTTTTCACGATTCCGAAAAACAAATTCAGAAGTGAATTTCTCTCGCATTTAAGCAAATCATGTCCAAATTTGAGCTTCCTACAATGCTGACCCACAACTGGTTCCAAAAATCAATTGTGGGCCAAAACAGACTATTTTTAAAACAGCCACAGCTTAGTAAATAAGGATGACAGACAGGGCTACTATGCTGCAAAACTTAGTCCAAAGACCATAGTTAAAGGCCGCACATGCACTTTTGTCACCAGGTCAGAATTAAAGGCCTTAATTTGGAATTTTCAAAAATATGACCCACAATTGATTTTTTACCTTATGGGAGAGCGAGGTGGCGATGGCAAGATGAAGCGCCAGTGCACTTCATTTTTCAACGACCTTGCTTCACTCCTGCCACGATTCCGCCTCTCTGGATTGAGCTTGGCGCACGGGATTTGAAAATTTCCCAACAGGACACATGTGGCTATGGTCTGAACCACGGGCATGCAAAAAGAATGATTTTGAATTTGTTTTTTTCAGAAGGCAAAAATAGAAACAAATTTTTTAACCATTTTTTTCGCGCTTTCATGGCTGCAGCTCACGTCCTATTTATGGGATGGCCATTTCGGAGGTTCAGACCATAGACGCAAGTGTAAAGAACATTTTGCCGCAAACCGCATGAAATTATCTTAATTTTTGCGCCCGTGAGAGTGGCACAAAGGTACAAAAAAGGTGTTTTGAGAAAAAGCCCTTTAAGTGGAAACATTGATTTGACTTTTTTTTTCGGATTATAAATGCGTCTTTTGATGTATTTTAGTTCAGTTTGCGCCAAAATGTTCCTCTTTTCAACTGCGTTTGGGTGGTTCAAGGGTTTTGTAATTGAAGTTCAAGTGAAAAACCTGAACGTTAACAATTGGTCAAATATATGCAAAAATAATTACCTTTTTAGCAACTTTAAAAATGTGCACAAGCCAAAGTAATCGGAATTTGGGGGTGGGGTTTGCGGCATTCGACTCGGGATGAATAGCAGGAAATTAAGATGAAATAAAAGAGAAGGCAAAAATTTGACGATTTTCACTGGTGTGCCCCCTTAAACTTAAAGATGGTAAATACACACTCTCTTTGTGCAATTCTGAAAGCTCTCATCACCATCATTCGACAAACCTCGAGGTTTCTTAAGTGCGTTGGTAAAATCTGAAAAAAAAAAATCGATTTGAAATTCACTTTCAGACGTGGCACCAGGATGTTTTTTTTTCTTTTCACGCACTGCCGATCTAAGTGTGAGGCAGTACTGTCTTCAAAGGTTATAACCTCACTTTCTAGTGCAGCCGAAGCACCTCTTTCGTGCACCTCTTTCCTGGTCAGTATTTACACCAACTCGACACCTAGCTGTTCATTGATAATGAGCCATGTTAAAGAACGAGTCTGCCTTCTTTAATATCAATCTCAATCGGTATTACTCAATTGATGTTCCTTGCTCCTTGTTTCTTTTGCTGGTTGGTCTATTGTTGCATGATTCGTACTTATATCCAGTCGCGGTCTGGGAGATACTTGGTTTGGTCAAAGCAGAATCCGGTCCTGAGCGGAAGTTTGCCCAAAACGATGAGTCCGGTCGTGGATGTGTTAAGCTGTAGGGGAGGGGGAGGTCGCTGGCCTTAAAAAGGAAAGCAGTTTGTTATAACAAAGTATTTTGAGCATACATAAGCTTACAAAGAAAATACTTCGCAATTTACGAACTATATCTTCGTATAACAAAGTTAATTAGTTTGTACTTATGTATGCTCCAAATACTTCGTAAGGTTTTAAGGGTGCGTGTCTCCCGTTTCAACGAATGCCACATCGTATTCTAACGAACGTGACTAAATTCACATTTTATCGGCTGTGTCGTCACATGGCTTGAGAATACCTAACAGTGAAGTTTCCCTTTTCCAACGATGAATTGAGAAGTATCTTTGGGCGAAAGGTTACCGCTGTACGGGTATAAAAGAGGGGATCGACGAGATGTTCGATGAATTTGCTCGTACACTGAGAATGGAAGTCATGATCATGACCAAAATTTTTGGCGACGAATTCTTTATCACCCAAATTTGGGTGAGGAAGGTTTCCTCGCCCACTTTGGGTGAGGAAGGTTTCCTCACCCAAATTTGGGTCATAATACTACGGGGCCATATAGGTAGCTGATGCACCCTTCCTCACCTCATTTTGGGAGAGGAAGCCTTCCTCGCCCGAATTTGGGCGAGGAAACATTCCTCGCCCAAATTTAGGTGATAAAGTATACCTCGCCCAAAATTGGGTATTGATCATGACTTTTTCATTATCAGTGTAGTCTGCGTTGAAAATCTCTGCAGTGCAATTACTTCCTCGTGAACTTTCTAAATGTGGGGTCTCGTGGTCAGCCGCCCGGGTACCAAGTTAGGGTCAATGGAGACCGGCGCTCTGTGGCGGAGCAGGTAGAGCCATCGGGAACGGCCAAAACAAGGCCCCAAAACTAAGCCATTGTGTTGCTCTGAATGCGTTGCCCACTAGGACAGGTAAGCGAGTGAAATGGTGATAACATCCGCTCGCACAATTAAGCGAAGATTAGTATCATCTGGCCACTGACTTCGTGCTATGACGCAGGTTGTATGAAACATATCTGATGAACTTATTTGATCTTTAGATAAATCGTTTTCAATAAGAATTATTTATACATTTGTCACAATTTTACTCTTTTTTGTTTGGTTACGTTTTCGGAGATGTTTTCCTTGCGCGAAAGAGGGTGAAATTCCACTTCTAATGACGTATACAACATGCCCATCAGGTCAAAATTTATTTTCATGTTATTTTTAACTTTTAATTAACTTTCTTGACCCAAACTACCAATTTCGCATTTTTTAAATGTTTGTTTTTTAAACTTCGCACAAACCTTCCCTTAGCATCCCTTAACAACCCCTGAAAATATTCGGCCGTATTTGAGAGGCCTGAGAAGTACTATGGTGGTACATGTGCACGCACTGAGGGAAAAAATCACAGTAAATCCTGTAGTGATTAGTACAGCTGTCACTGTAGTTCAGAGTACAGGATTTACTGTACCAGGTACAGTAAATACTGTAGCCAGGCACAGTAAATCCTGTGTTCTGAACTACAGTAAATCCCGGCAAAAAAATTAACGGGATTCACTGTGGGTTTTTAGGCAGGTGCGCTTAGACCGCCTTAAAACCTTGTTTCTGTGCGGTCCTGAACAGCCCGCGACGGAAGGGTCCCAGATCGGGCCGTAATAGGAGTTGGCATAGTGGTTATCAGTGCCCACTGAGATCAAAACTCACTAAAAACCTTCTTTACAGGCACCGGTGAACGGAAAACCAACAATTTTCTTGGTCGGAGCGCCTGCAGGGCTCCCGGTAGGCAACCCACGCAGCGCGTGTACTAGGCGGGCTGGCCTACCGTAGGTAAAACGGACTTGAGACCAACGGCCCACCAATCTTTTCCTTGGAATCATAAATCCCTAGCACCCATTTTTCTTTAATAGTCTTCCTCACGCCTCTCCCTCTGTTGTATTTCCTCTTGGTAACACTTTCATCGATCTGTACGATCACACCTTCACCTCCAAGTTGTTGATGAGGCATGTCCAGAATCTTCCAAGAGGCAATATCCGTATTACAAGAAGCAAAAACTATTAGGCTATTTGTGTATTTATGTATTAGCATGCATTAACTTCTAATTTGCTAGTACCTGAAGTATCGATGGTATTCGACTACTGCTTCTCTGCTGATGCCTGCTACCTTGCTGACATCGTTCGAGCTCACATGGCAGACCCAAAACCATAGTGCAATGAAAGTGTCCTCAAAAGACAAGTGAGTCCCTTCAAAAAAGGTGCCTTCACATAAACTGCTGAATTTTTTGCACTTTCAGCAGTACGCTGCGTAGTTCCCTTTATAGTCTGTGTTCCTATACGAGGTCTGCTTAGTTCTGCGTCGAGCCTTTTTGCAACGCTTCAGGGGTTTGCAAAAAGCCCTCTTTCTGTAAGTTCTCAACAATTTCTTTTTCTCCTTGCATGAAGAAAATGTAAACGTCTTTCACCAACCGGCACTCTGTCAGCAACATGGTGGAGTGAGTTCTTCCCTATTTGACTCTTGTTGTTGTTTTCGGGGCTTGGGCATGGGCGTTTCCGGACGTAGTACATAACCTTACCTTGAGATGGCGCTGGTGGAGGCGCGCCGCGAAAGTCTGCTAGTGCTGTCGTGCGTATAAACAGTGGAAAAGCCTAACCTTTTCGCGTTTTTTTTTTTAAGTCCTCGAATCACCGTTTTCCACATCTCAGATTGTCCGCGAGGTCAAATAAGTACGAAATCCAGAGTTTGGTTAAGTTTGGATAAAAATTGTTGTTTCGGTAATACCCTACTATCACCAGTTGTTGTACAAAATACAATGGAACCGGCATGACGGGTGCTGGGCGTTGTGGTTTGCAATCCTCGTTGTACACTCTCAGACTGTCATTTACTTTTTCGAGGGGTCCTATTCAAAAGATCTTATCTGGACGTTCCCCCCAAGACAATCTTATCTTAAACGCCTGCAAATTTCACTTATTTTGATCAGTCAGAACAAATACGACGGTAAGCGAAACATATTTCTTCATGCACTTTTGGTTTCTTTGATCTTCCATCTTTACATATACTTGAACATACTCACAAATTATTTGGATATGTAGCTGTATCAAATGATCAAAGTATGTGAAATTCACCTGCGTTTATGATAAGATTGTCTTGGGGGGAACGCCCAGATAAGATCTTTTGAATAGGACCCCTCGTTTTGTCCTTTTATTTGATAAAGAGTATTTTACACAGCAATAAAAAGTACTATTTCCTTAGCATATTCATAATAAGAATGCACGCCAGACAAGATACATTATTCATCCTCCTAACAAGTTTATAAAAGTCACAAATGCCACAAGAATTCAGTCTGACAGCACAAAATAGGTGTTATCAACTTTTAAAAGTTGAGTTTAAGGTTGTTTTTACGATAATACGCCGCGCTCAGCTCATAGTACATTCAACTAAACCTGGATATCCAATCGAGATTTGAGTGGTGTTTTCCTAAGAACATTAAAGGCCATACGGTGTTGAGGGTTGCCTGCCTTCAATTGCCATTACCATTAAGGGCTAGATCAAACATGATCGTATGCCAGGCACCACGTAACTGTTGTGAAAAAGCAAAGAGGACACATTTGTTCCGTTAATTTGAACTATAGTTTGTGTTGCAGAATGCATGATTGGACATAAGGCTCAATATCCAGACTCCTGATCGGCAGGATCTGGCGGGGGATCTTGGGGATTTTCAAGGTGTACACACTAAATGTTTATGTACAATTTTGTACGTGGTGATGCATTATTTTAAACCTGCGTACCGTCGTGCATAAAATTGTGCGTGAATTTGCATAAATTCGTGCATTTTCACGCATGATATTATGCAAATTCCACGTATGCACAAAATCGTGTGGGTTGCACGCACAAAATTCTACCTAAACATTTAGTTTGACGGCTGCGTATAGGATCGACCGTATGGCCTGGGAATTTTTAAAGGCCATACGCACTCGCTGAGTCCGATTATAGGCCATACGGCGTATGGCCCGGAAAACATCATTTGACCAGCAGAAGCCTCGGCTTCTTTTATCAATCCTGGGACTCGATGCGATGCGGACCAACCGGTACCGAACAGTTTACTTGGTGCAGTTTAGGCACAGTGGACCCAAAAGCTCTAGCACACGCCAGCAGCACCCGCGTCGAAGTCCGAAAAAGCTTTCCGGTTGCGCGCCATTTGCCGTAGAAGAACGACGGCACCGCTTTTATGTCGAAGTTGGTGGACATGTTGCGGAAGGAGTATGATCCCTGCAAAATTAAGTTCATGTTAGTATGCCAAAGTGACAGTGAGAACGATGAGGGTGGAGAAAACAAAGTGGCAGTGAACAAAGCAATGATGGCACGACTGAGGGGCAAACAAGAACCAATCGGCATGCCCAACTCCGCTCAATTTGGGCTCAAGAGCTCAAAGATTATCCCCCCCCCCGCCACACACAAAATTTCAGCAATATAGGTCAATTATTACAGGAACTGTGAGCAATCAACGTTCTCCTTTGTTCTGGTGAAGTGAAATTTGCCTTTTTTCGTGCCTCTTCAGCCTCCTTAAGGTCACCTTATTGACATTAAGGGGGGACCCTGGTGAAACTTTCAAGTAGGCTTCAAAATAATCCCAGGAAGTTGAAACTTTGCTTAGTTATGAGGTTCATTATGGTGAGTTCCCAAAATAAAATTCAATCCAAAATGTTGAACGGTCTCTGAGAAAAGTGGCTTTTAAGTGTTTTTTGGAGCGTTGGGGAAAAATCTTCCTGCGTCTTTCATTGGGACGGAAAGTCTTGAAAATTTTTTTGGGTTATCCTAAAGATGTATAGGAGAGATTTTAGTGACGGAATTTTCAAATTCAACTTCTGTCCTGAGATATGAGTTTTCAAATTTCAACATTTAAAAAAAAGTGATTTTTTTCCCTTTTTTCAAACTTTTAGGTGTATTTTAAAAAAAGTAGAGCTGATATCAAGATTCCGTCACTAAAATTTGTCGAAAAGTCACCATTGAATAGAGTCCATGCAAGACGACTCATGTAGGTGTCAACCAGGAACGCAGGAAGTCTTTCTACGACAAAATTTTTTGTCGACTGAGCAAAGCTGTGAAGTTGAGCGTAGAAGCCAACGACAACTGATCTCAATGTTATTTCCTTCGAAATGATAAAGAAACTACCCACTTAGCTTAAAGGGGTTCAACCTGTTGAATCTGAAACCTTCTATGCACATTTTTATCTATGAACTTTGAAAATACTATTTTTTGGAATTTTGGCGATTTTTTCACCAGGGTCCCCCCTTAAAATGGACATCACCATTGGATTCTCCATGCCTTTCTCCCCTTAAACCACCTTTCGTTGTATGCACTGTGGCAAAAAGCTACGGAAAATTCTGATAACAGCATGTGGCAATCCTCCATAGCAATATTGTCCGTAGGACCTTACAGTATTCTCACGTCACACGGGTTTCAAATCAAGCAGCACCACGTGCAAAATAGTACCTCAACCTTTGGCGTGTCACGTGACATTCGCTGGCAACCAATGCACTGCACATTTGACGAAGCTTGACGTCGCGGATGGAAACATACCGGAGGAAACGGGCAGGCAGCATTGGGGTCGTTGAACAGGGCCACCATGCCCTTCCGCCAGAGAGAGGGGGCCATAGTTCGGGCTGCCGTACAAAGCTTGGGGACCGAGAAAAGATACGCATTGTCCTTCCAGCCACCTCGAGCACTCCACGATGCAATGTTAATATCGCCCTGGAAATTGACAACCGTAATGCAGTGTTAAGCACTTAAAAACTGAAAGTTCACTTTCAGACTCGTTTTTATTTTTTTCTCACCATTTTTGACTTTTTGTCCTTTGCTTACGTAGTTTTTTAAACAGCAATAATATGTAGTATTTTCTTTGTAATCATGTACAATATTGTTCACCATGAAGACAAAATTGTCATCAATTACAGACTATTTTTGAAGTCAATTGTGTATTGACTGTTTGTCAATAGCAAATTGACTTCAAGTCAATATCACGAACGAAATCTTACATAGATATTGAGGAAATAGTGCTTTTTACTGCCGTGTAAAATACTCTTTGACAAAGGACAAAAAGTCAATAACAGTTTGAGAGTGTTCCTCGTTGACAAGGTAGATAAAATATCAATCCACCTAATGTGACAGAGAAAGCAGAATATTATCCTTGCCCCACTGAAATTCCAAACGCTATGAGTATTGCACGTGTGGTGCAATGCGTCGCCATATCGCACCATACGTGCAATGCCTCAGCCATATTGCACCTTAAGGGGGGACCCTGGTGAAAAAATGGCCAAAACTGCCAAAAATAGTATTTTCAAAGTTCACAGATAAAAATGTGCATAGAAGGTTTCAGATTCAACAGGTTGAACACCTTTAAACTATATGGGTAGTTACTTCATCATTTAGGAAGAAATAACATTGAGATCAGTTGTCGTTGGCTTATACGCTTAACTCCACACCTTTGCTCAGTCGACAAAAAATTTTGTCGTAGAAAGACTTCCTGCGTTCCTGGTCGACACCTACATGAGTCATCTTGCATGGACTCTATTCATTGATGACTTATCGACAAATTTTAGTGACGGAATCTTGATATCAGCCCTACTTTTGTTTACATACACCTAAAAGTTTGAAAAAAAGGCAAAAAAATCACTTTTTTTCTATGTTAAAATTTGAAAATTCATATCTTAGGACAGAAGTTGAAATTGAAAATTCCGTCACTAAAATCTCTTCTATACATCTTTAGGATAGCCCAAAAAAATTTTCAAGACTTTCCGTTCCAATGAAAGACGCAGGAAGATTTTCCCCCAACGCTCTAAAAAACACTAAGAAGCCACTTTTCTCAGAGACCGTTCAACATTTTGGATTGAATTTTGTTTTGGGAACTCACCATACTGAACCTAATAATTAAGCAAAGTTTCAACTTTCTGGGATTATTTTAAAGCCTACTTGAATGTTTCACCAGGGTCCCCCCTTATGTGCAATGCATCCCGAAAATGCCCTATGCTAATGCATGGGAATAGGGAGGCATTGCACTTCATGTGCAATGCTTTTGCATTGCACCAATTAGGGATGCAAAATTTCATGAAAAATATTTTTTTGAATAATTCACGTGAAATTTTTCATATTTTTCAGAAAAATATGGAATTTTTTGAAAAATATACTTTTTGCTCTTATATTGCATATAAAATAGTGATTTGCCTTTTCAATGAGTTATTTCGTCTGTTCCTGTGTTTCCCTGGTGTCAACGTGTCCTTCGTCAATCACTGGACACACAATCACGTTTAAATAAGTGGCGGGTAGCTTCGTCACTGCGAATAAGTGCTACTACCTGCGTATAGGGGAGGGGCGGAGGGCGGATAGGCGGGGAGGAGTGTGGTTGCGGTGGCTGTGTGGAAGGAGTGAAAGAGCGGGAAGCCGACGCCGCCGCCGAGCGGCAATACATACAGGCAAAGCACAAAGCACCTGCGATTTCTGTAAGTTTACCTTTGGTGTCGTTTTTAAGATAGTTTTCTTCTGTGTGTCAAACATTTTAAAGTGGATTGTGCCGTTTTCGGTATCTTGATCCCCAGCCTATATCACTTTGTAACCACAAGTGAGATTAGGGGACTTTTATTTTTATCGTTTTGTTTTATTTTTCTAGGTTCTAACATCTTCTTCAGGAAGATGGGACGAAAGAAATTGTTTATTTGGTCGCATTTTGAAGTGGGACTGACAAGGGCACCAAAAGTGTCGTTTGCTCATATTGCTTCTGGAAGTCATCGAGGGCCAATGCTAGTCGAATGGTGGAACATATTGCCTCGTTCTGCAAACAGGCATCAGCTTCTCTGAAGAAAACTGCTGCCAGTAAACTAAACCAGGTTTGTTCAGTTAATTTACAATTATTTAGACCTGCCCTATTATATTTTCTTTTACATTTCATTTTCTATTTTTGTTTGGTCTTTCACAGGGATCGTCAAAGAAACGGAAAACTATTGATAGTTCAGACAGTGAAGATGAAGATGCCGCTTTGGAAAGTGCACGACCACAAGCAACATCTGAAACAACTGGATCAGTTTCGCCTCCTAGCTCAACCTGTCGAACCAGTGACAAACCCACCACTTCTCACTCTTCAAACGGATCAATGGATAGATTTGTTGTATCTACTTCTGAACGGTTAAAGGTGAAGATTGATAAAGCTTTAGCCAGAGCAGTATATATGACTCCTAGTGTTCCATTTAACATTTTTGAAAATGTATATTGGAAGCATGCATTGAATCTACTCCGGCCTTCTTATAAGCCACCTAGTCGGCATCAGATTGGTACTCCTCTCCTCAACCAGGAGTATGATGATGTAATGGTATCTGCAAAAAAAAAATAAAATAAAAGCAGCTCCTTGTATAGCTATAATCTCTGATGGTTGGACTAATAACAGAAATGAGAGTTTGATAAATTTCCTATTGACTACACCTTTGCCAGTCTTTTTTAAAAGTATAACTCCTGGTAAAGATAAAGAAACGGCATCTTACATTGGTAAAGAAATTATAAATGTTATTGATGAGGTAGTTAGTGATGGAACAGATGTGAAATTAATTTTTATTGTAATAACTGATAATGCTGCCAACATGAGAGCTGCATGGGACATAGTGAGAGAAAAATATCCCCACATTGTCTGTATTGGTTGCCCTGCTCATATGTTAAATCTTTTACTAGGTGATATCATGAAAGTTGACTCTCTAAAAGAACTGCGTTGTAATGTGAAAAAAGTTATCAAACAGTTCAAGAATCACCATGTTCCAGGGGCATTTTTTAAAGCCGAGCAAAAAGTAAGATATGGGAACAAAGCTGTGACCCTTAAACTCCCTCCCAAAACAAGGTGGTTTTTCTTTGTAATTTCACTGTACTCTCTGATAAGTAACAAAGCTGCACTGCAGTCCACTGTAATAGAAGAGGAACTTGCCATTGACAGTAATGTGAGAGAGTTAGTTCTTGACAATGCAGGGTTTTGGGTCTCTGTAACTGACTGTTACAATTTGTTAGTTCCTATTGCAAAAGCAATATCTCATGTTGAAAGTGATACTGCTCTTCTGTCTGATTTGCCATTTCTAACAAAAAAAGTTAGTCATGATATTGAAGAAGTATTAGCAACCTTCTCATTGTTAACAAGTGAAGAGAAAACAGTAGTTAACTCAGCTGTGGTAGACAGAATGTATAAATGCTGTTTTAATGTACATTTTGCTGCTAATTTATTGCATCCAATGAGAATGGGGAAAGATTTGGACCAAACGGAGAAGCAAGACGCTATCCGCTTCATTAGTGAACAGTGTATACATCTTGAACTCAACAAGGGAGAAGTGCTTGGCAATCTGGCTGCATTTAGGACCAAAACTGGTTCTTTTGGTGATGAAAATATTTGGGAAGCTGCTGCCCACACCACCCCTGCTACATGGTGGGGAGGTTTCTGTACTGAGCAACCGTTATTTCCCATAGCTGCTAGAGTTTTCAATGTACCAATTACCTCTGCGCCATGTGAGCGTAACTGGTCCACATTCAGCTCTGTTCATACAAAGACCAAAAATAGGATTTTGAACGAAAGGGCCCAGAAGCAAGTTGCCATTAAAAGCAACATGCGCTTCAGCTCAAATGGAATTCATGAACCTCCAAAGAAAAAAGCCAAAAATCCATTTGGAACTTATGATGTGAACTCTAACATAGAAAATGTTGATGATGTTGTAGAGTGGGATGAGTCCGAGTTAAATGATAGTGATTATTCTGTCTCAGACTCAGAAGAGGAGTCCGATGATGATGTTCCCCTTGCATATACTTTTTAAGTATTTTATTCTTTATTGTTTTGACTGACTAATTAATAGGTTCAGGTTCAACTGAAAGTACTGATTATTTTTAATTTAATTCTAAGTTATTTCTTAGCTTGTCTAATCTGTACTGAAATCTGGTTGTGAGTTTATGTTGAATGTAACCGTGCCATTGTGCCTGTGCCATATGTGATTTTATGTATAATAAATAAGAAAGTTTCGTAACAAATTGTATTATTTTGTTCCTCTCACCCTTTTAAATGCACCTTCTACTTGTCTAAAAGGTTGTGGCACTGCCTAAAAATTAAAAATGAGCTATTTAGGCGCCTTCAATATTAGTTTTCCCTTATCAGTTCTTAAAACATCAAAACTAGTCAAAAAAATATTTTTCACAAAATTTCAATGAAAAATAAAGCTTAGAAACTTTTCAGGAAAAATATGAAATTTTTCATATTTTTCAAGAAAAATTTCCGGCCTTCGCATCCCTAGCACCAATAGACGCTATACTCATAGCGTTTGGATTCTCAGTGCCGCCGTGAGATGAGAGCGTGCATGACAGCACCACTCGTCAACGGCTGGGCCGATCCGGTTGAGACGTCAGGAAACACGTTCTTGGCTCCAAATAAACTAACCGTAAGGTCGTCGTTTATCTCAAAGTACGATGTCCCGTTCCAAGAATAATACCACAAATCCGGATTCTTTCTGTCTCTCCAACCGACGTAGTGGTGTTTATAGAATGTCTTGTTTGGACGCATATGCTCTGGGCATTTTTCGAAGTGGTCCGGGATGATACGGAAGGGTCCCTTTTAAGAAGATATAATCTCACTTTAATAAGAACTCGGGGATATGCTACGCTACATACACAGCTGTGGCAAAAAGCTAAGGAAAATTCTGTTAATTTTTTTTTGCCACTGTACAAATCGAAGAGCGTACATCGAGGGGGGAACGACTTCAGTTATCCGATGTACAGCAAATTGGTTATCCGCTATCCGGATAACCAGAAATTTCGAAGTAATCCGGGGAAATTCTGAGGTGATTCGGGGTAATCCGGGGAAATTCTGAGGTAATCCGGGGTAATCCGGCGCAATCCAATGGTAATCCTGGAAATTTTTCGATGTAATCCGGAGGTAATCCGCGGGTTATCCGGGGTTATCCCTATCCGATGTACACAAAATTTCTCAGTCGTTTCCCCCTTGGCATAGAGCATACAAAGTACGCTCTTCGATTTGTAGAGCAGGATTCTCCATAGCCCTCTTCAATATTCAATATTTTCCGTAGGACCTTATAGTATTTTCTGTAGGATATCACAGTATTCTCTGTAGGACCTTCACGTCTCCACGTTCTTTCGCTCCCGGCGAGGACAACGACTTGAGCTGCCTACAAGCAGGGGGTGGCAACCGCCTAGAAAGAGCGTGAAGCTATGCTCGCGCCGCACAGTGGGCGGAAAGACCACTTTTGACGGGAAAAAGTCGGGTTCCGCAACCATTATGTAGATTCCAATAAATGCACTTTTCTAGCTCAAAAAAGTGTGCCGAATCCAAATCTGCCTTTGTTTTTATCATGCGCCTTTTCGTTTTTCTCATAGAAGGCTTGAAAGTCACATGTATCTATTCGCTAAGAAATAACGCAACAAAAAGCGCATAAATTCGCTGCGCTTACTGAGTCAGTTTTAGATCTAATTTTTCAACCCAGATGTTTTTAGAAAGAGCAATTCACGAGGATTCCAAAACTGTCCTCGAATTGTAATTTCGAGTATATTTGACAAAACTACGGCCGTTTGAAATTTGCATGTCACAAAACACAAAATTCCAAAGTTCCCTTGGGCGGCATAAAAAGCCTCAAGTTGCCCCGCGCTCGCTCTAGGTTCATTTGGGGCCGCAAAGAGTGCTCTTTCGGAGGAAAAAAGAATTAGCTGCCCATAGCTGCCCTTCTGAAGTTTATGGCTCGATTTGTGTGAGCGTGCGTACGAAAAAACGGGTCCCGACGCATGTCAATCGCATAGGTCGTCTCAGGGCATGCCCCTCCCGCCTCCGGCCCCCTCCCTTTCCCCTCCCCCTCCCGTTCACTCCCAGTTCCCCCCTCCCCCTGCCCTCCCCCTCCCCTTGTACAATGATTTTTCAGAGTTGTCGACTTAGGACAGCAAATATGGGTATATTCGGAATCGGGGCGACACAACTGGACCAATGACGCGTTCGGAGTCGATCATTGCTGTAGCTTGGTCTGTAACGTGTCGTTGCCTTGTATTAGAAGTAGAAGAAGTAACGCAAGAAAAACTGTTGCCACAATAGGGGGCCTACGCTGTTGATTTAGTAAATTATACAGTAAATTAATACTATCCGTCCATAGAAAAATCGAAAAATGACCAGATTTAGAATCAGGATGATGATGATGACCCCCTTAAACCTTGAAAAATTAAAGTCACCCACCTTGAATCACTGAATCTGCCCCTGCAAAGTTCGAAACATGGCTAGATTTAGGATCAGTGACCCTTGAAAACTGATATGGGAAGTTTCGACCCGGTATGCTCGAAAAATAAAATTTACCCCCCTTGTATCACTAGATCTGCCCCAGAAAAATTCATGTCATGGCCAGATTTGGAATCAGCGACCCCCAAAACCCCGAGTACGGAGTTTAAGCGCGGATTGCTCTAAATTTAAAATCTACCCCCCTAATATCTCCGGATCCGCCCCTGAAAAGTTCGAAATATGATCAGATTTAGAATCAGCGACCCCAAAAACATAAAATACGGATGAATGATGTTTTTCGGACAAGTAATTCAGTTGTAATGACTTTTTCCCGTCAAAAGTGGTCTTTCCGCCCACTGTGCGCCGTCAGTGCAGAGGTTGCGCACTTGTTCGAGATTATGAAAACTAAACTGTGTTTTTCAAAACGCTTTGCACCGATGGAAAGGGCTTGAAATTTAGGGTGCATTAGGCTAATTGCTCTTCTTGAAACTTTCCCCTTACCTGATATTAAGGTGCAGTGAAAACACCGGAAAACACGAGAAATCATCAAATTTAGGAAAAAGCTCGAATGCGCCATGTCGATGTAAATGATTCCGCCCTTGTGTTCGGTTGAATTGGAAGTATCGGGCAGTCTACTAGGCCTAATGCACCCCAAATTTTGTGTTCTTTTGATCTGTGCAAAGCGTTTTGCAATCAACGCGGCCTAGATGTTACAATCGAAGCAAAATAAGTAACCCCTGCACCTCACTCGCGCATGGCTTCAAGCGCTTCCTAGGCCTTTGCCGCCCCCTGCTACAAGGCCCTGAGGGCGGGGGTGTAAAGGGACTTCCTGGCCACGGACGGCTCGAAGGCGGAGAGCTTGGACGGCCGGGCCGAAGTCGGGGCGTCTGTATACGACGCCTTCACCATGGGAGTCAAGATGTACTCCCTCCCAGCCGCTGGGAGAATTCCAGAATTTCCCGTAGCTTCTAGCCACAGTGTAGCCATTCAATGCCGTTTCCACATACATTAGAACGGCTTGAGGGCTAGTGATCTTATTGAACGTCGAATACACCGCAGATTCACGTGTGAGACAGCATGACGCTATGTGGCGTCAACCAAACAGAATGACTCACGCCTAGAAGTGTGTTGTCATGTCCCACTTTTGTAAACTGGGGACACGTGGCATTGAATCCAGGGCTGTCAAAGTTAATTTAACGATTAACGAAGTTACTTAACTCCGTTTAAGTTAAATAACGTTAACTCGACAGTTTTGTCCTAGGGCCTTAACGTTAACGAGTTAAGTTAATTTTGTGTGTTAACTTTTTAACGTCGTTAAAGTTGAAAGCGTTCGTCTTTATTTTCGATTTTGGCCGAAATTTTGGCAAACTGCTGGAAAAAATGTATTTGAAACGTAAGAGAATCAACAAAACATCAATTTTTAGTAAAGGTTTTATATAATTTGCAATTACTTGTTCTACTGGTTGCTAAGATGCGCCAAAGCGTGAAATTAACTTTGACGCCGTTAACGCCTTAACTTAACGTTAACTCGCTCTAGAAACTGAAGAGAGTGCATGGCATGCTCCTCCTAGGAGTCAACCAGAAAGCACGCTCTTCTCAAGAGCATGCTTGCAAGCACACTCTTCCTAGGAGCAAGCTTGCAAGCACTCTCTGGGATAAAGCGTGCTGCGTCACTATTATATGGACTCTTATCAACGAACAGGCACGCTTTCACCCTAGGGAGTGCTTGCAAGCATGCTCCTAAGAAGAGCGTCCTTGCCAAGCAAGCTCCTGGGAAGAGTGTGCTTGCAAGCATGCTCTTGGGAAGAGTGTGCTTGCAAGCATGATCCTGGGAAGAGTGTGCTTGCAAGCATGCTCTTGGGAAGAGTGTGCTTGCAAGCATGCTCTTGGGAAGAGCGTGCTTGCAAGCATGATCCTGGGAAGAGCGTGCTTGCAAGCATGCTCTTGGGAAGAGTGTGCTTGCAAGCATGATCCTGGGAAGAGCGTGCTTGCAAGCATGCTCTTGGGAAGAGTGTGCTTGCAAGTATGCTCCTGGGAAGAGTGTGCTTGCAAGCATGCTCCTGGGAAGAGTGTGCTTGCAAGCATGCTCTTGGGAAGGGCGTGCTTTGTGGTTGACTCCTGGGAAGAGCATGCCGTGCACTCTCTTCAGTTTCTAGAGCGTTAACAAGCTCAACATAGCCTTGACTTTAACGAGTCCGTTAATTTGGTTAGGTTAACGGGTTAACTTTAACGTGTTAACCAAAGAAATTAACTCTAACAGCCCTGATGAACCACGCAGGGACCATAGGCATGTGGGACAGACCATGTCCCATCTTTTAATTCCAGCCGTGAGGCATCAGCGTCCTACACAACCAAGCGTGGTGCGAAAAAGGGCCCAACATCTAGGCGTGGGACATAATATTGGTTCACGCTGAACAAGTGTGAAACGGTGCTGCACTTGGGTTTGCAGCGTAAAGAAATTCACGAAGAAAACTATATTGTTGAGGTCTGACTGATGCCAATAAGCGTCGTGCTGAAAGGTTTCCTTACGGCGATTGCGCTGATCCTTTGAACGTCGCATTCGGGAAGCAACCATCCCAAGCAAATAACGAACGCAAGGGTGCGTCCTGCCATGTTGAAGCAAGCTGTCTTAATGCGATGGCCCGGGCGTTCGGAAGCAGCGAGCGGACGCATTGTACTCCCTACAGATGCGCTGCGTGCAGTCTCGTTGGCCTGTGACGCAAATCACTCGCCGACGCAAAAGGTCGACGAACGAGGTGTCATGTTGAGCTAATTGGGTGACCTCCAGGCGCGTCAAGCCATGGATTCCGTGCCCCAAGGGCTTTCACCTCTTCTACACACTCTACAAATCGAAGAGCGTACATTGTATGCTCTAACTGGAGCATGTACCTGCAAGCACGCTCTAGCTAGCGCATGCCTGCCAAGCATGCACTTACTACACTGCGAGAAAAGATCACGGTAAATCCTGTACTGATTACTCCAGACTTCACCGTACTTTTTTTAACAGGCAATACCGTCGTTTTTTTACAGGCAATACCGTCCTTTTTTTACAGGCAACACCGTACTTTTTTTTACAGGCAACACCGTACTTTTTTTACAAGGAATCCCGTACTTTTTTACCCGGCAATCCCGTACTTTCAATACCTATCAAAAACTGCTATAATTTTGTTCAGTCGGTTGACCCTCTTTTTCCAAGTTCCTGATGTACGCAACTGCTGAAGTCGGACCCCTGGACCCCCCTTCCGACCACTCGTTGAAAAGGTCTTGACGAGACCTATCGAAAGGTGCAATAAAATTTTTCAGTCGGTCGACCCCCTTTTTTCAAGATCCTGATGTGGACAATTCTTGGGAGCGGCCTTTGTTGGGACCAGATCAGGTCCTTCCTACGGCATGGACTGTACGAAAGAACGTTAACTACTGTTAAAAAACTACGGAATATTTTGTAAAACAAGTACGGTAAATACTGTAGACTGTACGGTGGATACTGGTTTTTGAAGTACGGTAAAGTTTGGCAAAAAAATTATCCAGGATTTACCGTCATTTTTTCTCAGAGTGTAGTGCATACATGCCATGTACACGCCAACTGAAGCGTGCATCTAGTGCATAAGGGATAAGGAGTTGCCTGCTTCAGGAAGCGTGTACATGGCATGTATGCACCAGTAAGTGCATGCTTGGCAGGCATGCGCTAGCTAGAGCGTGCTTGCAGGCATGCTCCAGTTAGAGCATACAATCTACGCTCTTCGATTTGTAGAGCAGATATTTGGTTTTTTGACTTTCTTCGGGGCCATACACAATAACACAAAAATGTTATTTATCGAAACTCCTAAAAAGTTGTTAACACTGCAAACCTAACTGTCTGCACTAGAAATCCAAAGGCGATACTTCTCACCCTCTGGACAGCAAGACAAATTTGTATCGCCACGTTGGGGTGAGACAGGTTTGTATCGCCCAAAAAGAGGCGAGACAAATTTGTATTTCTCAAAGAGAGGCGAGACAAAGTTGTGTCGCTCAAAGAATGGCGATACAGATTCGTATTGCCCAAAAAGAGGCAAGACCAAAATATATCGCTAAAACTTGACAAGCACTGTAAACCAAGTCACTGCGGTATGTACAAACATGCCACAGTCACTTTTCCCCCAAATATGACACTTTAAATGTGTTGTTGTTTGTATGGGACTACTCTCGTTGTACCCAGGGGCGGGCCAGGCGAGGCTCACCCCATCATCCCATCAGCAAAAGAAGTCTAAAAATTCAGCTGTTTGACGCCATCCTGAACTAACGACTGGCCGGAACTTGACCAAAATTGGTTTCGAGGTGGGTCGGCACTCCCCTAACCCGATTCCGAAGCCAGAGGTCCCGTACTTCCAGTAGGTTCGCGGCCAGAGCTACTTTGGCCTCAAAAAATTCACCACCTCCTCCTCCGCCTGGACGGCGGTTTGGTGGTACGTCCTCGTATCTCCGAAACAACGGACTTCGGCGTTGGGCACTGTGAGACCCGGCAGCCTCAACGGCACAGTGAAACATGGGGGGCATCATGGTGAACCCCAGGGGGACGTCATCGGGGACCTCATAACGTGGTCGACGACGTAACTCAAGCTTGTGCGGACAAACAAGGCGGCTCCTTGTATCGGCAAAGGCCAACCAAGGCGGCCCCTAGGAAGCGCGCTTCAAAAACAAGGCGGGCCCTTGGAATTTGTCTTGAGTCCAGGAAAACAAGGGACTGGCCTTGGAAAACAAGGGAGCCTCCTTGGCATGGGAGCACACTTCCAAGGAACTCCCTTGAAGTGTTCCATCTTTCCTTGTTTTGAAAAAACCGTCAAGGAGTCGCGCTAACCGTGCAGTTAGGGTTAGGGACTTCTTTGGGGTGAGAGTGATAAACTTTAATCATTACTATGAAGGGAATGAGCCTCTCATTATGTTTTATTTGAGTGACACTCTTGAAATGATCAATGTCTGACTCAAGTTGAATAGGACACTTATACCTTCAAATGGCTGAATCGGTTCCATCAGTTAGGATGTATATTTCAGGGCCGGGCTTGCCAGTTTTCGGCATTCAAAACGGTTTCACATGGTTTCTCTCATTAAGACGTCAGGCACACGCCCTGAAGGTGGGCAACTTTTCTAAGAAGCTCCCTCCTGTCGACCCGCGCAATTCGGCCCCTGACTGGCGGCCGCACGCCTCGGCGCGCAGACCAGCTCGCACGAGTTGAGGGACAGAAGAACAAGGGACGCCACACGGCCGGCAGGCGGACCCAGCGCCAGCGCGCCGATCAGCAACGACACCGCTGCGATGCAGGAACGGATCCAGAGACAGGTTCGAAGAGGGGTTCTCATAAGTTGCCTACCATCCGCCTCTAAGTGGCACTCGTAAAAGCCTACGAAGCATTTGCTTCATAACTGCAAAGAAAATGAAGGCATTGTTGCTTTGTATTATGAAGAAATGCTTCGTATTACAAAGGATTTTGCTTCATAATACGAAGCTTTTCTTCGTAGATTTTACAATGCCTTCATTTCCTTCGTTTTGCGAAGCAATTCTGCGTAGAGTTTTCACTGAGGGGACTTTTTGTCCACCATTAAGGGGGTCTTCGCAACCCTTCGCATGGGGTCGGCCCCATGATCTGTACCGGCTGCGATGCCACCGCTGGCTGTCCGTTTAGCAAAGAAACCCACACTGTGGCAAAAAGCTACGGAAAATTCTGTAAATAGCTTGTAGTAATTATCCGTAGCTCCCTTGTCAATATTCTCCCTAGGACCCCACAGTCATCTCCGAAGGACCTAAGTGATCAACGTGACTATACAGTCCTGTCGAGGGGGGGGGGGGTCATGGTACCGCAGTGGTCATGGTTCACCACTCAACCTTGCACAGGTATACCCTCGATTCAGGTAAAATTTCTTAGGCTTCTTGGACGATCAAGGCACAACGAAACGCTGCTTCTCTCCTTTACTGATTCGGTCATTTCATCCTGACCAGGACACGTCGAAATTGTGACCATCATTCAGGAAAAATGTGATTGAGATTAATTTTCTAAATCTTGTCGCAGCATTGGTGGATCGTCGTCTGGGCGGGCACTCTGCTGCTGGTCTACAATCACGTTCAGAGCAGATACATCCAATCGTTTGCTGTACGTACACGGACAGAAGTTATTGATAGGACAACTTCGAAAGTAAAAACCTGCCCTTTCCGTAAAGGGTACTCCCCGGTGCTCCCAGTTATGAGCAGTTGCCAAAATTCGGGGCACTTTTGAAGGCCATAGAACCGCAAGAAAAAAATGTGGAAAAGTCGGCTTTTTTCTCGGCCAATTTATTCAGTGATGTCCCACGACTTATATCTGAACGCAGTCGAGCTCCCGGTGCAATATTGCAGAAAGACCAAAAAGCCCCTATCAAAAGTATAGGGGAAAGACACGGAACGTTACAGAAAAAAGCGGGATACGGAACGTTACATGTTCATTCAAACAGGCCTAGTAACTCTCTTGCTATGAATTAAAACACGCCATTTGGTGTGAGCACCTGTTTTAAGATTCCTCAACACGTCCCGAAAGAATCATATCTCTGTTTGGTCTAGAACTTGCCCAAGGAACAGAAAAGCATTTTAAAATCATGGTTGGACACTACCGAAACATAACCTATAAAATAAGATTCTGAGCTTTCTATTAACTTCTCAGAGTTCCCGTTTGCACCATTCGACGGCAAAAATGCTACAGATTAATCTGACGACAAGGCCGAGAACTATCAGTGGAGTGCAACGCGAGAAACCGTGATAATTCACATGTAACGTTCCGGAAAGTCAACCACGGAGGACATTTTGCGTTTACAGATTGCACCCAAATCGAGCTCGTAAAAACGAGTTCAGTAACATGTGTCTGATAGATAAAATAATTAAGTTTCCGAATATCTTCTCAAAATCGTTCTACGTTCAATATTAGCTGAAATATAAGCTTCGAAACTTTGAATTTATGGACGGGGGACATGCCGGAACGTTACAAAATGACCCTTTGGAGCACTTTATCGACATCTTCTGAATTGAAAAAGGGGTGGCTTAAGATGGATAAGAGTGGTCGACGTCGAGCCCAACACAACGCACCAAACCGCATCTCAAAACGTTGAAAAATAACGATTATAGAGCCAAAAGACACGAAAGATACCCTTATTTTGGCAACTGCTCTTATACGTAGCCGGCAGTAGATAGGGAAGAAAAAATATGCTTTGGGGTTTGTCTGGATTTTTACACTACCGTATTCACTACACTGTGAGAAAAACGTACGGTATTCGCGGTTAATTTATTAACAGGATTTGACGTACTTAGAATTACGGTGTTTACCGTTCCTAGACGTACAGCGTTTACCGTACCCATTGAAGTACTTACGGTGTTTGCCATACCTAGAAGTACAGCGTTTACTGTACCTGGAAGTACGGCGATCACCTTAGTTTGTACAATGCACTTGTCAATAGGCAGTCATTTCTTTACATCAAAGTCAATTTAGACAATTTTGAAAATATACTCAAACTATTTGGAATTGAATTCAACGCGAGACCTTTTCAACTTGGATTTCAAGGCGGCACTTTTACCGTGTTTGTACAAACTGCGGGAATCGCCGTACCTCGAGGTACGGTAAACACCGTACTTCTATGGATACGGTAAACGCTGTACTTCTAGGTACGGTAAACTCTGTACTTCTGAGTAAGGCAAATCCTGTTAGTAAATTAACGGCGAATACCGTGCATTTTTCTCACAGTGTATTATGTTGGTCATACCATAAAAACAGCTAGTGGGAATATAAAAACAATCGTTGGACTGTCCCATTGCACCCCTCTTGGCCCTGTCCTTCAAAATCCCTCTAAATTTCTTACAATGAAATTGGACGTATGTTTTTCGTATGTTACAGTGAATTCGGCGCAAGCATAATACGAAGCAATATTCCTTCGTAACGAATCTTTTTAGCTTTTTTATTGTAAGATACATAGAAAAACCTTCGTAATACGCAGAGAAACCACCTTCGTATTATGCATGCGCCATTTTCTTCGTATGGAAAATTTCTTCGTAAGACATTTAGCAGGGGGCGGCAACGGCCTAGGAAGCGCGTGAAGCCATGCGCGAGTGAGGTGCAGGGGTTACTTATTTTGCTTCGATTGTAACATCTAGGCCGTTGATTGCAAAACGCTTTGCACAGATCAAAAGAGCACAAAATTTGGGGTGCATTGGGCCTAGTGGACTGCCCGATACTTCCAATTCAACCGAACACAAGGGCGGAATCATTTACATCGACATGGCGCATTCGAGTTTTTTCCTAAATTTGATGATTTCTCGTGTTTTCCGGTGTTTTCACTGCACCTTAAAATCAGGTAAGGGGGAAGTTTCAAGAAGAGCAATTAGCCTAATGCACCCTAAGTTTCAAGCCCTTTCCATCGGTGCAAAGCGTTTTGAAAAACACAGTCTAGTTTTCATTATCTCGAACAAGTGCGCAACCTCTGCACTGACGGCGCGAGCATCGCTTCACGCTCTTTCTAGGCGGTTGCCACCCCCTGCATTTAGAGTGTCCAGCACGCAAGCCCCCAAGCTCCCTGGCGCCAATCACAAATACTGCTCCATGCCAAAGGGCCCCTCCTGATTCACCTCCATAAAAAGTCGTACCATCAATAACGCCTATCTGTCACGGAGAGGTGAAAAAATTGCCGCGGCGCTGGACATTGCGAGCAACGCAGTAACAGGCGTCAAGGTCAATGTGCTTTGCCGCCGGCTTGCTAGCCTATGTAGTCGAGGAAACCAGGAATGTAAGGCATTGCAACCTCAAAATAGTAGTAAGCTGAATTTTCGCGAAACTGTAGGGCTCGTAACATAATTTTGTTACATTGCAGGAAAGATAGAGACACCTCTCTTCGCTTGGATCATGAGTCCAAACCTACTCCACTGTTAATTGTTTAGAATAAAAACGATGTTATCACGAATTTGGTTTACTACCTGAACGGTACCTATACGTTTCGTGCCCCTGCATTATTTTATTGGACAGGATGGCCGCAAATTACTGTCAGCCCCTGGCAACTCCCCATCTGGGCCTGTTCACACGAGAGAGCGGGAACCGCCGCTCTGCAAGATTGGTAACAGATAAAGTAGCGATGCACATCGACAACTTTGGCTCGTCCCGTACATTAAAAAATGTGCGAATTTCGCCTGTGTTTAACTTCAACGAGATTTCATCCTGAGTTTGGGGTCAACATGGATGTAACTTTCGTCACTAACGCCCTCAGAAATATGGGAAACAATGCAACAGCGTTAATAAAACAAGCTAGGGCCCGCCCTCCCGTCGAACCGAGTTGCCAGCTCCACTTCGCTGCGCCGGCAACTCGGTGCAGGTGGCAGGCCCAGCTTGGCCTGCCGCCGGCGTCTCTTAGGGCCTTGGGCCCTCGCGTCAGGCCCAACCTGGCAAGTCGCAGGCCAATCTTCGGGCCTTTGGCCCACACATCCGGCACCCCATGCACTGCAAGAAAAAGTGTGAATAGTACAACAAATGTACAACAGAAACTGTACAAAACAAGTACAACATGTTAGGTTAGGTTAGGTATTTAAAAGTACAATAAAAACCTCATAAAAAATTCGCAAGAAATTTGTGTACTTTTGTTGTGGTTTTTACTTGCAGTGCATGAGGGGGTAACGCAAAGTTATCGATCTGTCATCGCGACTAAGGCCCACCTTTCTATTCAAAATATGGACAAATATCTTTTGTTTACTCTAACCATCCAAAACGAGGCTCATTAAATTTGTCTCGTTGACCCGATTCCCAAAATACTCGTATTTGTCTTGCTTCAAAAAGAGAGCTTTCAATGAGCTGTTTTAAGAGGGTTTCCAATTCTAATCGCAACCATTCCCGTCCTTTTCGAAGGAGAGTCACGACCTATTGCACGTCGATGCTCCTTTATAGTACCTGCCTTTGAGTCTTCTTACCACTACTGTTTTATAGCATGTCGTTTGGGAGAAAAAGCCAAAGTCACATGGTAGCCCTGTCACATGGTGCCCCACCTTCCCTTACGTTTGTTTTTTTTTTTTGTTTTAGGGCCCGTACATTATATTTCTGCGCTCGGTCACATCGTGTCCCGCGAACGGCTCGGTAGACTTCCACTTGCGTGTGACGCATTTCAAGCCCGCAAGACCTTTCGACCTGCAGATCGTTACAGTTAATTTGTCACTGGGAATTGACGTTGCAGACAATTTTTGGGTAAGTACAATTGTTACAATGCTGCTTCAAAAAATCCTTGACACCAAAGCAGGTGATGTTGAAGAGAAGGTTCTCTTTAATGTCATTTTTACCACAACGAGAAATATACAAGCAGCATCTTTTGTGAGAAAAAATTATCAGAACAGATGGCCGATTCACGAGACGATTTGTGATACCCGGCTACCCACCCGCGCTTTTTCTTCCCTTAAGGAGGCACACAGGTGAAAATGCAGAGGTTTTGTAAATCAGTCATTCTGCAAGTAACAGATCTATCGGCTTCATATTATTCTCAACTTTCACTCTCAAACTTCGCTGCGTTCGACAAGGGGCAGGCACAGCTTGGCCTGCCGGCTGCGTTTCCTCGGGCCTTCGGCCCGCGCATCAAACCTAACTTGGCAAGTCGCAGGCCACCCTTCGGGCCTTCAGCCCGACATCCCATTAGGTGGTAGCACAAAGTTATCGATGTATCATCGTGACTAAGGCCCACCCTTCTATTCAAAATATGAACAAATATGGTCAAAATTTTTCAGTCGGTCGACCCCCTTTTTCGAAGATACTGATCGTGATTATCTACCGAAGGCGGGCTCGTAGACCCCCCTTCCGACCACTCGTTAGACAGGTCTTGGCGAGATCTATCGAAAACCGCAATAACATCTTTCAGTTGGTCGACCCCCTTTTTCCAAGATCCAGGGCATCTACAGTGCCTTCCGAATTTGGGAACTCTAGCTCAGTTCCCTCCCTGTACACAGACGACGACGACAACGACACACAATCAATGAAAAATCAATGAATAGTCTCTAAATGAACTCAAAACAACCCCCAACTAGGCCATATAGTCAATAGAATATAAGTTAAATAAACAAAAGTTCTTCTAGACGTTTAGAAAATTGAGTCAGTGCAGGGTATCTTCAAACTTGGAGCGGTGAGCCAGGTCTTGTTTTAAGGGGGACACTCGTCATTCTCCGCCTAAAAATCACATGTTTGTTTATGACTTTTATGAATTCCTTGTGTCGAATCCTTGAATTGGGTGGCTGGCTGGTTTCGAAATTCAAGACAGTTTGGCCACAGAACGACATTTTGTAATTTATTTTCCTCGGGATAGGTTAGACCATGCAAACTTTGCAGCCAACGCGATGTGGCGTTTGAAAGAGGAACGTCCAAGGAGTAAAAGCAGCCAATAAAAAAAATTGACCCCTGACCCCTCTTTTTGGTGTTCCCGCCCCCCTTAACTGACTTTCAGAGGTGGAAACGGCATCCAAGCACGGAATCATCCAGCCCAAAACGCAAGAGTTCCGAAAACACTGCGAAGATTGTACCACCAAGCTGTCGGTTTTTATTTTCTAAGCGATTTGCGTGACGTGTTTGCTTGTTAGATCTACGGTGATTTGGCCAAGCGATTGAACAACCAGTGGAAAGAGAACGCCTTCCATTACAAGTTCCCTAACGTCGGATGCTCCGCGATTCGTGAACAAGCCCCGGGCGTCTTTAGCCTCATCTCGGAAGTCTCCGGGGCGTCCATGGACAAGAATGAACGGTGCTTCATTCCAAAGGTACACTTAAAGGGGGCAGTAGAACTTTGAGCAGGTGTTTTTTCTATTTCTTTCGAACTGTCCGTTTGGACCTCAACAATGATCGGCATAAATGCAAAGACCAAACTGCGGTGACCATGGTTAAAGAACAAACTTTTTACCACTATTTAAAGAAATAGGATTTCATAAAATCCTAGTAGTTACGAAGATAATTTCATTCAGGCCAATATTATATACAAGCAGCGTTTATATAACAAAATTGGACTTTGTGTACACGCTGCGTGCAAAATGAACCACGGGGTTTAATATCGAAAAATACCACTAGATATTTAGTATCGGACAAGAAAAATTCATTCAATGGAAAATTTGAGGAAAATGACCTTTTTCTACGAGCGTTTTTCGTCTGATTTGAACCTCCGTGGTTCATTTGATGGGTAATTTTATGATCTTTTTGATACACTTTACCGATTGGAAAAAGGTTGAAAACTTCGGCTGAAATCGAGCGCGCAGTGACACCATGTATGATTTCGCAGACCTTTAACGTCCCTCATAAAAATGCCTCTCTTAATGGTAAAACAAAAAAAAATCGAAATTGTTGCAAAAAGTTTGATCTTTTACATGGTTACCGCCGTTAGTCTCTAGCATCCATGAAAGTATTTTTTATTGAGGTGCAAACAGAAAAATCGAAAAGAAATTGAAAAGGCCGATATTATATACACGCAGCGTGTACGCAACAATGGTAAAAATTATTTAAACGCCGCGTGGCAATAATATATTCATTAGAACAACACACGCAGCGTGTCTGAAATCACAAAAGTATTATGTACACGCCGGAAGGGCCTTTCCACGCCGGAAAGGCTTTTCCAGCGTGTACATAATAAAAGCAGCTGTTTCCATCACGCAGCGTGTCTGCAAGCGCTCTTAAATTATTTGCACGCTGGAAAATCTTTTCCGGTGTGTCAATAATAAAGGAGGGTGTTATTTTTACGCAGCGTGTTTGCAACTCCCTATATTATTATTTGCACTCTTGTTTTGAGGCCAGCAAGGAGATAGAGATGCCTAGGAGGAAGCCGACCGGGTGTGTCGCCTCGTGGTCTAGTGGATATGTGCCTGCATGCCACTCTTTTGGCAAGGGTTCGAAACTTGGAGAATTTTTTCAAAAGATGCGTGCACATAATTTTTCGGCATTCAAGGGACACGCGGCGTATGAATAATAGATCGTTGGTTGTGCAGACGCTGCGTGTCGCGTGTCGCCGAAAAATTATGTGCACGCATCCTTTGAAAAAATTCTCCAAGTTTCGAACCCGGGCCAAAAAAGTGGCATGCAGGCACGCACCCACTCGACCACGAGGCGACACACCCGGTCGGCTTCCTCCTAGGCATCTCTATCTCCTGGCTGGCCTCAAAACAAGAGTGCAAATAATAAAATAGGGAGTTGCAAACACGCTGCGTAAAAATAACACACTCCTTTATTATACACACGCCGGAAAAACTTTTCCAGCGTGCAAATAATTTTAGGGGGCTTGCAGACACGCTGCGTGCAAAAAACGGCTGTTTTTATTATATACACGCTGGAAAAGCTTTTCCTGCGTGTATATAATGAAAATGGCGTTATTTGCACGCCGCGTGTATTTAAGTTGCTTTTTATTATATAAACGCTGCGTGTCTATAATCACTTCGAATTGAAAAAGTGCCACTGCGCCCTTAATTGAGTTGTGGCCAGGTTAATGGACGAGTGTTGACTACGTGCCCATTGTCAGACGGAAAGAGCGAGAGGTCTAAAATCCACGCTACTCCGTTCCCATGCTTTCAGGGTGAATACTACGTGACCGGGCCGCTTAACTTGACTCTTCCACACTTTCCAATATTGATTTACGGACATGACCGAGTACATCTCCAGGCTCGAGAAAATCCAAAATCAGCTGCATGGTGTTGTGCGTACCTCGAGTTCGAAATTATCCCGAGACCATACTAGGTATGCTGTGCCAAAGTTCAGAAAGGGGGGCAGTTCGTAACAGAATCTGGAATTTCGAAATGTTAATTGTAATTTTTGTCTGTCAGCTGTGAATTTGTACTAGACTCATACACTCCCGACAAAAATAAGCGAAGCACTTTCAGTCCTCGTATTATTTTCTTAGTCTTACGAGGTAGGATGCTGAAATTTTGTAAACGGATGCCCCCACTAAAGGAGAGTGGTGATCAATGACCGCTTGTTTTTTGTGCTTCTCTCTACTTCGCCCTGTGGTTCGACAAGTTAAGTTTCCAGCATGAGGGGGGCCCTTTGGACCTCAGAACCATTTTCCTCTTTTGTCTCATATTACCCCACATTGCAGGGAAATATGGGACGGCATTCCGAGGGTTATTGAAAGGCCCCTACACAGTAAAAAAAGATTCGCCGATTCGGTGACGTCTGGGCGCCAAAACGAGAATATTGCAAGAACAGCGACACCCTCAAACTGTTCTGGCGGCCCTCTGTTCGTTTCGGCGACGCTCGGTCTAGTTTCGGTGGCGCTCGGTCCGTTCCGGAGCAGCCACCTCACCAGAACGGCACTGCAGTCACCCTCCCGCCAGCGACTTTTAATCGTCGTATTAATGTGAAATAGGACACAAAACAAGTCAGGGGCTGTCAGTAATCATTCGCGTGACTCATCAAAGCGTAACATTGCCGGCGGGCACGCACAAGCACAGACAGCTCAAAAACAGTTGTTGTGGTCGTCCTAACCTCTCTGGCGGAACACCGCCTGGTGACGCAGGTCACCGTTTTGGTGACGGACTGTCGCCGGGTTTGTGGGGGTACCCGTTTCGGTGAGATTGGATATACACTCTACCAAAAATGCCCTGTAAATGCCGTTAATTTATTACCAGTTTTCACTGTAGGTCAATTCACAGCGTTTACTGTGATCTGCTCACGCGATTCACTGTGATCTTGTTCACGGTGGTTACTGTGATCTGGTTCACAGTAAACACTGTGAGTTTGACGCCGCTCAGCACCGAAGTGCTGCAAATCAGGCTCCAATTCACGGCGTTTACTGTGGCCAGATCACAGTGAACACTGTATCCGAGATCACAGTAAACGCCGTGAACTAGTTCACAGCAAACGCCGTGAATTGCATTACAGCAAACAGTGGTAATAAATTAACGGCGTTGACAGGACATTTTTTGTAGAGTGTAGAACGACCACCAAAACAGCGAATCTTTTTTTACTGTGTACTGCACCTAAAAATCTAAAATTTAGTGGGAGTGTAGACAAAGGGTCAATGAACAAGTGATGAACACTTCAGCACCTCAAATTAAAATCAAAAGTGGGAAATTCACAAAAATACCTCGAAATTCATCTCATGTTACCCCGTTCTACGGTAGGGGTAGGTTGGGGAAGAAAAGTACAGGGTAAGAAAAGTACAACCCTTGTGGAGCTGCTGTCTTGACTTCTAGTTATCCCTCGACCAGTGATTTCAACTTAACATGAAAATC